CATGGTATCATTATAATTTTTGTTTGTTTCATTTGTTTTTTTTGGGACAAGGTCTCACTATGTAGTTGAGACTAACCTAGAACTAACTATGTAGCCCAGGCTTGTCTCGAACTCAAAGCGATCCTCCTGCCTCAGCCTCCCACGTGCTGGGATTACAAGTGTGTGCCACCATACCCAACCTCATTATAATTTTTAAGATGCTTTCTCTTTAAAAAGTTTTAAAACCTTATTACCTGTTTGCAGTACATAATAATTATTCATTGTGGGGTGTTTGTATATGGATATAGCACATACTTCTTCACTTGCATAATTGAAACAACAGGTCTTATAGAGTTATTGGGTGGATTGAGATAGCACACATGAAAAGCCAGTATAGTACCTGAGACATAGAAGGTGATAAATAAAGTTATTGTTATACCCTACTATGTTAATCCCATCTACAGTGATGGCTTCCAAGCTTAAGAAGCATGGACTATATGGTTAGATCTTTATTGTTTCTCAATTTGAAGCCATGAAAGTGGTTTATGATCTGTATTGTTTGGCCTTGATATGGTCTCTTAAGGTGAGCTGAATCAGGTCTTCATTTGGCTACTTTCTTAGACTTTGCCTTTTCACAGAGCAACTGCCTGAGCAAGAGTCCTCCTGCTATGCAAAGGACAGCTGGATGGACTTGGAAAAGTGATGGCTGTTCTTTTTTTCCTTTCAAAAGATCTGAGCACTTTCTTTATGCATTACCACAGGGCTAACAAGACAAAGATTTGAATCCAACCCAGTGGGGGAAAGAAACTCCCTTCACACAGGTGTTCCCCCCTAGTGGTGCAGATTGGGAACTTCAGGAGGGAAACCTTTCCCCTACTCAGTCTTTAATCCCTGTCTGGCATTTCTTTCTTTTTCTTTGTTTAATCTTAAATTTATTGGTACAGTTTAGGTATACAATACAGTTACATTCATTATTGGGATCTTGTACCTTTACATGACAGGTCTTGGTTCTCATTTTTTCCCCTTGTCCCTGTCCTCCCTTCACCCCCTCCCCCTCCCATTTACAAAGACATCGTTTCCACATTTTTTCTTTTCACATATTTTTCTTTTCCCTTTCCCCTACCTCTCCTACTTCCTCTACTCTTAGACATTTTCTTCCTATTACACAATATCTAGTATACATTTTGATCCTTATTAACACTTTCAGTTTTTCACACCAGAGACACTATTGGTATTTACACCTGAGTGACTTATTAATTTCACTTATGAGTATGGCCTCAGTGTGCATCCACTTAGCTATAAATATCTCTAGTTTTTCGTTCTTGAGGTAAACAGCTTTTCAGCTAGAGTGGTCACTTGCTGATTCCTGTTGAGAAAAAAATAATCACAACCAGGATCAAGGCCCTTGCATTCCACGACAAGTTGAACCAAAGGTTAAACTGAACTAAAGGTTATTACATTTACATGGATGCCTGCAGGTATTAATCCACAAAAGGCATAAAAAATTATTAGAATAATCTGAAACATGGGGCTAGTTAATTCAGGTAACAAGGTAACCAGCCTAAGAAGTGGAAGTTAGCCTTCTGTTCAGCATATTGTAATCTCTTATTTTCAATTTGAATCTGTGACAACAAACTATCCTTTAGACAGGGAGAATCTTGGTAAAAGATATTAATATTGGTGAGGGTAAACCAAGGATAATAGGTTAGGTATTTAATATTCTTGAAAATGGGGTTGTGGAGAGAAACACAGAGAGAGGGGAGAATAATAAATGGAGGGAAGGTAGAGGAAGGGGGCCAGAAGGGAGGGTAAGGTTACGGTGCTTGGAAGAGGAAAGGAGGGGTACCCAGAGGCAGGCAGGTCTGCGCAAGAGGCCTAGTTGTTAGTTGTGTGTTTGACAGAAATGCTATGAGATGTGGGAGCTACGTCTTCCTACAGACCCCATGTGGAGAAAGACTCCATTTGTCTTTCTGCCAATCATGTTTAAAATCTACTCTTGCTAGAATTTTAACTTTTAAAGTAAGGAGTAAGCAGTTAAAAGTCCATGATTTTTACTAATAGAACACTGTGATGTCACTCTATTTGGCAATAAGTAATTGACAATCTGTGTAAATTACTGGATGGAGCAGAATGTGGGACATGCAAAGAACTGAAACAAGTGGGTTAAGAGATGAATAGTGAGCAAATGGGGCTGGCCAGGTTTGGTGTTCATGGGAAGCACAATGAATCTGTAGGCCGGGTAAACATAAAAGGTATTTTATGAATCTGCTGGCTCTGTAGGCCAGATAAACAAATTATTTTCGCAAAGGAAAGAAACTGTAGCATGCTTTCCTAGTGGGTGCCAGAGCATGCTTCTGTTTGACGTACACTCCACTCAGCGGCAGAGGGAGGTAGAGAGTAAAAAATGATGTGGGCTGGGCCCTTCAAGAACAATAGGAATGTATGGATGAATTTTGAAAATCTTAGTAACAGGCAGGCTGCTGTATTGAATCACTAGCAGCTATGAGGTAGGAAGACCTAAATAGTGGAAGATGAGGTAAAAAGGTGAAGAAATTTAAAAACTGCACATTTTAAAAATGACTTTTCTCTAATCCTTCTTTGGCATGTGCTTTATGCTGTTACATAAATATGAGTCTTGAGTTCAAGGTCTGACATTGCACCTTTTTTTTTGTGAACTGCTTTCCTCTACACCTCAGAGACTAGGAGTTGGAGAACACAAGGTGGGAACAGTGTGCAGAGATGGAGGAAACAGAAACATGGACTAAATTTGCATATCTAGAGAAGTGCACTTTCCCCTCAACAGCACCCAGCCAGTCTCTGCCATGTGTAAGCCCTTTATGACCATAATTTTGAAAAGCCATTGTGAAAGGTGGAAGTAAATACTCATGAAACCATAGTAACATCGTGTTTGTGGGGACTATTAGGACTCTAGCTCTCAATGCACCTAGTACTTCCTGAAAGGTTGCTGAAGCCTTAAGGCAGGCACGACTGAGGTGGAGGAAAGCAGGTTCGGGTATCCATCTCCCAGAAAAGTTCTTGATATCAGCTGTTGTATTAGTCATTTTGCTACCAGGACACAATACCTGACACCCACAACTTAAAGTGGAAGAGGTTAAATTTGGCTCACAGTTCATGGTTTTGTTCACGGCTGGCTCCAGGTCAGAAATACCATGGTGGAATGGAATGGCAGTGCAAAGCCGCTCACCTCAGGGCAGCCAGGAAGCAGAGGGGAGGGCGCGTTTGGGTAGGGAGCTGTAACCTAGAGGCTCTCCTCCAGTGACACCTCCAGCCAACCAGATCATGCGTGCTGACCGCACATTTAGCCATTCATGAGGATCAGGTCCCCACGATCCAATCATCTTCCGTAAGTCCCTCCTCTGAACACCTAAGACTTTCGGGGGGACATTCTAGATCTAAACCCTAAAAACCTTTAATGCAGGCCTGATGTGTGTACTCTCTTCTCTTTCAGAGAAAACAATTGGAATGCTATTGCATGTTTTACAGTATCTCTACCAGAGATGGTGCAATTTAAAAAATACAAAGGGATATAGAGTTAGAATGGATGTTTGTGCACATTTGAGAGAAAGAGAAATTTTGATTTAGAACATACTATCATACTCATATTTTCCCTAGTAATTAACTTTCTTCTCCCTTTACTAAACTTCTCAGCAGTGCCTGTCTAGACGTAGTCACTTTGGTTTTATGTATCTGGTTCATTTACTAGTGCTAGTGTTAAATTAATACTAAATGGAAGAACAGGTGCTGACAATGAGAGAAAGTTGGTTTCTGCTTGAAAAATTCCAGGGACAGACAATGTTGGAAAGATGAAACTAGCACAAAAGTGACAGACTCTTCTGCCTGCCCCCTTCATACCCCAGGATCAGTCCACCTCTTTTTCAGTTGCTCCCGATCTTGTGGATACTATGACATATTTTGAAAACTCATATAATCGTTATGAGATTCACATGTAAATCTGAACTCTATCAGTAGGCAAATAATGGCACAGCTTTGAGGCAAGAGAGGGAGGAAGGAGTCACTTTGAGAACCTAAGCCCTGATAAGTGAAAACAGGTAAAAATGAGTACAGGCAACATCTTCCAGAATTTAATGTTTTTATTTGCCATTTATTATAAAAATTGAACCTTTATTTTTACACAAAAGATACTTTAAAAACAGTAAAATTTACCAAAATCTACTGGATCTGAGGGATTCAGTAGAAATTTAAACTCAAGGGCCAAAATCATTGAACAAAATCTTATATTTTCTATTATTAGCAGAACCAAAACCAATTAAACAAATTTCTAAATATGTGACAAATATTGTGAACAAAATACCTACTCAAGACTGGCCCATTACGTCACTAAGAGCAAAATATTTCAAGAATTTAAAAAATCTTCTTGTACAATGTTAATATTTAGGCTGATACACAACATACACATGCACAAACACATCCATTCTAACTCTGTATCCCTTTGTATTTTTAAAATTGCACCATCTCTGGTAGAGATAATGTAAAACATGCAGATAGCATTCATAATTGTTTTCTCTGCAAGAGTATAGTATATCAGTTAAATGCAAAATTTAAATATGAAATAAAGTTCAATTGGAGGCTATCTCAGCACAGTACTTTGGCTCATATATTTGTGTTAATGCTCAAGTGTTGATTAAACTGTTCATACGAAAAAACTGAATAAAATGTAGCATACTACCACAAGTACTTAGGAGATAGTTCTCACTGGATATAGAAGCAAGGAGACTAATTAAGACCCAAGTTTTTTTTATTGTTATTGTTTTGAGACAGAGTCTGACTATGTAGTTCAGGCTGGCCCTGTATGTAGCCTGGGCTGAGCTTGAATTTTCAGTGATCCTCCGGCCTCAGCCTCCCAAGTGTTGGGATTACAGGTGTTACTCACCACACTGGGGCTAATACTGAAGCTTTTTAACTCCTTTAGCATTTAACTTCCAGCTGAAGGTAAGAATTAATGATATCCAGGGTATTTTGCAACATTATTGATTTATATCTTTTCACATACATATCTTCAGAATACACATCAGGATGCAAAAGAACTCCTTTGCCCTCCCACCACTCTCTGTTTCCAGAAAGAAAGACTTTGATGCAATGCACAGTTAATGAAAACAAACTGGACCTACAGCTGTATTCTTACGCTTTTGGTGGAAATGAAGGAGCACAGGATCGGAAATGAAGGAGCACAGGATCAGTTCAAAATATTGAAGGGATGGATAAAGTAGAACTAACTAGTCAGGCATAATTATAGGCCTAGCTTCCTCAAATAAATAAATACATCCAGGTGTCACTGCAAATCTTCCAGCACAAATACATTGTTACTATACAAGCATTGACCAAATTTAAGGATGTGAGTGTAGAAGGAAAATAAAATACCTTATGTACATAAGACAGTGCTGAGAACATAGAGGAAAGAATTTCATTGAAAAACACAAGCAAATACTGTCAAATCCACAGAATAAATTTTAATGAACCCATCAACACTATGCAATGTTTTAATCAAACATATAAAACTGGAATGGTGAAACACTTGAAAAGCAAGTATTTCACTAAGGACTGATAAGGTTATGCACATAACTCACTGTTGCACGCCACAGCACACCTATCAGAGCTCTGCCACAACACTGAGATGCCGAAGAGCTCATTTACCCTCTTTACATAACATGAATGTTAAGTGATAGTGAACTGTGGTGACATGCACGGGAAAAAGTTAGGACTGAAGGTGAAAAATGAAAATACAGTAGCTCTGTTCCACACAGACATACCCTGATGTAGGTTAGGTAAAGAATGCTACAGCTTTCCAGGAATGCTCAATAACACTCATGTTCTCAAACTAAGTTTTAGTATTTGATTTCTTATAATAGGATAGAATATTCCATGATTATAAAGTAATAAATTTATAAAGATTGGTATCCTTAATATTAGCCTAAGACCACCTGCAATTTTGGAAAATTACTAAATATAGAAAACATGTTACAGTTTTCATACATGGAATATGTGTGTGTCTGTGTGCAAATGAAATGAACCAATGCCACTGCCTGTATATGCCATAAACTTTATTTTTAATCTTCTACATTTAGTTTTTGGAAAATACATTCTTGGAAATCAAACGCCAGTGAAAGTCTCATGATTATAATTTAGCAAACTTTTTTCTTAAAGTAAAATTATTTTTAAGTGAATATGAACACATAAAATAAAGATCTGCTCCAACAGTGTAGTAAATGCAGTACTGACACATTTTCATACATCAGACAGTAGTATCTCTATTCATTGTATCAGTGCTGTGTTGTCCAAACCTACATAAACACCTGTGTGTAAGATTTAAATAACAAAGACACTGAAAAGCTGTGGCATCAAGAGCAACAAAGTTTGCACCCAAGTGTGTGAGAAGCAGCTTACATATTCATTATTCATCTTACTAGCAAATTGTTCCAGGAATTTTCATGGATAATCAGATTTATCTGCACTTGAACAGAACCAGTGCTTAGCCATGGAGAAGTTCTAGTTTGGGGAATGGTAGCAAATCTGAGTTTTGTTTTGAAAATTCTTCCTGTAAAAGAAGGTAGGGTTTCTCATACATATTTATGTGGCCAAAATCATTTAAACATCTCTCCATGTTTCACACTTATGTCCAAAACTTAAGAGAATCCTATCTGACACTGCAATCAGTACACACAACGGCCCTACTGTAAGAAGCACTCACACTTTAAGATCAACTCACACTTTAGAAAATGAGAATAACAAAACCCTGGATAGAGTCAGAATCTATTTTGTGAAGTCCTGAAAGAGAGCTACATCAGTTATGCCTGGATCCCTGAGAATGTAAATGTTCTGATTAAAGGCAAGTTTTGTTAAGAAGCAAATCTTTATACCATTCTGTCCCATTCAGTTACACAATAACGTGTCAGGCAACTTCCGGTGTTCTATATTCTTTGTAGCTAATACTCAAATTTCATTTGATGTGAATGACTTTTCTCTGACTTCAGTCCAGGCATGTGTGCCAGGTGAGAGAAGCAACATCTCCCCTACTCTCCAGAGATGGCGAACCTGTTAGAGCTTTCGGCGATTACAGCCAGCTGCAGCACACATGCCATAGGTTCACTATCACTGCTCTAAACGCTTGCTTTCATCTTCCCGGAACAAAGCAAGAGAAAACATTTACCACACACCACAGTTCCACGTTCAAGTGCTCTTTACCCATAATGTTTTCCAGTTTTGTGCAGGTGCAGTTAATAGATTACTTCAGTTATATCCAAAATGAGGTGGCATCATAAGGCCTAGACCCATTAGAAAAAAACACTTAAAATGCACATTTCCCAAAAGTGTGTCAGTTTTATTCATTTAACAATGTGTATGATAATGAAAGGCCAAACACAAAGCTCTTTATGAAGAGAAGCGAAATGCAGTCCATGAGAGTTAAAGGCATGAGATGAATTTCAGCTCAATGGATTCATTTCTGTGTGAGCTCTGAAAGCTCATCTTAGCTACTGAATAGACACTGAGTGTTTTATATCTTGAGATCATGCAGATGGAGCAAAAAATGCATTTTGCTTTAACACTAACTTTCTACAAAAAGTATTTTAAAATTAATTCTAAAATCAAAATTTGTCCCTCTTCTATCACAGGTTTTGTAAGTAATTACAAATTGTAGGCTGGGCGTGGTGGTGCACGCTTGAAATGTCAGCACTTGGGAGGTTGAGGCGAAGGATCCCTATGAGTCTCAGAAGCCCGGCTATGCGCAGTGAGTTCAAGGCCAGTCTGAACTACATAGTGAGACCCTGTCTCATCCAAAAAAAAATTGTACCCATACGACTGCATAGCAGCAGGAAGAAGAGGGAGTTGATGCAGCCATTCTCTCAAAAGGAACCCCCCAAATATTTTAGGGCACGAATCATAAGCCTTTTGTTATCTAAAAGTAATATGTTGCAGAGTACAAAAACATTTTGGTGCAGAATGCACAAAAACAAGAGAATCATAAACAGACCAAACCAAGTATCATGACTTTTTGAAGAAATGTGTATGTTCTCTGTACCTTACAAAAATTATTTTCACAAATGTAGAATCCAAGAGCACAAAGTAGAAAATATTTGTTTTATATTTCATATAAAAATTCTTAAATAAAAAGGTTTTGATGATAATAGACAAGAATAAATTTTTGAGAATACACTGATTTTTGGAATGCCCCCAAAATGACTAATCTTAGTTACCCTGTCCAAGCAAAGGCCAAAGGTAGGCACTTTCTCAGGGCTCCTCATTGCTGTTCAATGAAAATCAGATTAAGAAAGACTCAAGCAAGTCAGGAAGGGAAGTAAAAATTAAGCCAAAAGGAATTCTGCCAGGCATAATACACCCTGCCTAAAAACATGTAAGAACATAAATCACAGAGAGTAGCGAGCATACATCAAGGAGATTTACACTGATGAGTTGTGATCTTGGTGATAAATATCAAACAGGAGGTCAGGAAAAGCAAGTGTGCAAATAAGAGAGACTAGGAAAGAACAAAAGAAACTTATAGTAAAGATTTAATAATTTCATGCCTCTCAGTCCACCTTCAATGTATACTTCTTATAATATCTCAATAAATTAAAGATCAGTTACAAGATTCCAGTTGTGTTAACACTTTTACCTATTCAACTTTGAAATAGACACTGAGTTGCTTTAGAGTAAGATATTTGGTGGATAATCATCATCACCCATTTCTCAGTTTTATAGTGTAAGAAATTACTTCTCCTTTAAAGCCCTGGGACATAATTAAAAAATACTCTTGAGACATGGGCCTCTGATCTTAGGTCAACACTTATCTAAGCATGTCTGCAAACGTTCAGTCACAGGGAGAGGAAGCGTACTGAGCAAACTGTCCTCCACAAGCAGACAGCTGCGTTTCAGAGCCTGACACCCTTCCAGCTCCGGAGGCAATGTTTCCAGGTAATTCCCAGTGAGCTCCAGATGAGTGAGGTTTGACAGCTCACCCACGTGAGGGGACAGCTCAGTCAGGCTATTTCTCCCCAAAAGCAAACACTGCAGCTTCTTGCACTGAAACAGCCCATCTGGTAGTGTCTCGATCTGGAGAGGAAGAAAAGAAGCCAGTGAAACTGGTTTGAGGTACTGTAATGGTACATTCATTGTTTACGTACCCTAGCTACATTACTCTAAAAACACGCCTGCAGATTATAAGGATAAATAAACAATGGTGATTAAACTTGAGAAAAAGTAAAGAGTATCCCAGGGATACAGGATGATGCTCTTATGAACACCTGAAGCGTTGCTGTTCATGGCTGGGCAGCCAGTTTGGCTCTGGGCATTCCAACAAGCAATTTTCACTGTCCCAAGATTAAAAGAAAACAACAACACAGTAACTCAGGAGAATCAATATTCTGAATCATAATTACTCTCAAGAGTCCTCAGAGTTTACTGTGTATGTAATGAGCAACATCCTTAAAAACATCCTACAGGGCTGGGGATTTAGCTCAGTGGTTCCACTGCCTGCCTTGCAAGGACCTGAGTTCAATCACCAGTACAAAACAACAACAACAACAACAACAAAAACCAAAACACAAATTCCTAAAAACAGGCACAAGTCTTCTTCCCATACTGTTTTTCTTCGTATTAACTGAAGCTGGATTCTATTTTTTTTCCCTGGTACTGGGGATCAAACTTAGGACCTTGTGGTTGCAAGGCAAGTGCAGCATTGCTGAGCTAAATCCCCAGCCCTGGATTGTTTTTAAAAGTCTACAGAAGCACAGACAAAAAGATATGATATATACAGGTACATTTTGCTCCCCTCTACATATACTCACCTCCCCCAACACAGCTGGCACAGTGGCTCTGTGTTAGCCCATCAGAGGATGCAGGCTGAGCCTGAGGGTCCTTTCACCCATTTCTAACAAAGCCACTTGTGTATTTAGCCTTCTTCCTGGGCTCTGGCATGGATTCAGTTAAATAACTCATGTCAGAGAGGTAACTTAAATACAATAAATAGCCTGCTCCACTGGACTTCTTCCCTATGTGGTGGCAGGCTCTAGGCGAGTTTCTAAGGAAGTCACAGTGCACATATGCCACAGGTTCACTGAGGTGGCCTCCAAAGTTGAGCACACACACTACCTTCAGCTCATCACTCCAGGGAGGGTGGGTTTGAAACAAGCATTGCTGGTGATCCACCTCACCCATACCACACTTGATCCTTGCCACAAGGCTAAGAAGTGTTCACACATCACCTACAGTACTCCACGTATTGGCTGGGGATCAGAGCCTATGACACCATGGCACAGTACAACACCGCATTGACTCCTAGACTCAGGAAGCAGCTTTGTTAGAAACAGGGAAAGGCACTTGGGCTCAGCCTGCATCCTTCAATGGGCTAACACAGAGCTACTGGGTCAGCTCTGTTGGAGGAGCTCACAGCCCAGGGCTCTCGCTCCTCAAAAGGACAAATACTCTTCATATAAACTGGTCAAACTATTAAAAGAATGCTTGCCTCTTTAGACTCCCCCCGCAATATCACCACCACATACATTCAGTGCTGGATGTCTTTGGAAATAAATCTAAAGATCACTGTTGCTGAGGCCAACATTCAACACAGATCATCACAATATGCCACAATACTAGGTATAAGCGTAAGAAAAACATCTACACACATTTCATTTTTTTCACAAGAGCAGATGTATACCTGTACACATAGGTAGACTTCAGTGTTGAGAGAGATGAGGTAGAGAGATAAGACACAGAAGAAATGCAATGCCTTTAAAAGCCACTCTTGCTGATCAGAGAACTTACAGTTCAGAGGTAGGGTCAGTGTTGTACACGTGGACGGAAAAGTTCAGCCTGTGAAGTATGCCCAGGTGTCTGGTGAGGGTGCCTAAGCAATGACTTAGATAAATCCACAGGGAAGCCAGGCTCATATGCATCTGATAAACATGTGCTAAAAGCTAACAGCTGGGTGCTGGAGAGGGTACTGAACAGGACAGACAGCCTTTATTAACTTTTGTTTAGGGCTGGGGGTGCAGCTCAGTGGTAGAGCACTTATTTACCATGTTTCAGGCTCTGGATTTCTAACAAACAAACAAGAACTTTTATCTAAGGCAGGTGGCCATAAACATCTCAGCCTTGCCACTGTTGACACTTGTGTGGGATAATTCCTTGTCCATAGGGCCATCCTAGCATTGCAGAATGTTAAGCAGCATCCCTGGCACCTACACACTCACCAGCGCTACTCTCCACCCTAGTTGGAACAAAGGAAATGTCTCAAGGCAAATTTCCCTTGATGGAGTAACCCCCTAATTGAGAAGCACTGGTCTAATGGGAGAGAGAAACATTACACAATTACACAAAGACTGAGTGAGTCTGGAATGGGCGGGAGGAGGGAGACTGCATCAGGGAATTCCACATTCCCCTTCTTCACTCAACTCCAGATTGCCAGCAGTGGCTTAACTGGGTTATCTTCTACTGGCTGATTACCCTCCAACCACTGCCTTACTCTCCTGTCTAGTATCTGTGCTACTGTGTTCTAATTCTCGTTCAAATCTCCAAATCTGTGATTTCAGGGGACTTCTCCCCCTGCAGCAGATGAGTGGGATTTCACTTGGCAGTGGAGGGTGCTCTGGAGCTGCTCTTCACTAGGGAGCCCCAGAGTTTCCATGCCCCCTTCAACATTGCTTCTGGGAGTGATCGTGGGCTTTGGTTGGTGCTATTCCCTTCCACTGCCAAAGTTTTCTCTGCATGCCAGTACCCAGCTAAGATCCAGGACCTTAACACCAACACAAATTTAATTTTCCTAAAGAAGGAAAGGGAACTTTATTAAGAAACTCAAGACTCTTACCAAAGACCTGTCATGTAAAGATACAAGATCCCAATGATTAATGTAAGTATACTGTATACCTAAAATGTACCAATAAACTCAATGAGAAAACAAAGAAACTCAAGACTCTTTTTTTCATGAGTAAATCTATTTACAGCTGTTAAAAAGCTTTCCTTGAAGTTTACAGAAACATGAAACACATTTTGCTTGTCAATAAATTCTATAAAAATGTGTCATAATTCAGTGTGCCTTTTCTCTTAGACTGTGTGACGCATGATATGGAGAGGAAATGTCACTGTAAGACAACCACTGTTTTTTCTCAAAAGTCAAGGGAAAAATTTACAGGCTATTAGATGATAAACTTCCTAAGTAGATGTCTTATAGAATAAACTATAATATATAATAAAGTGTATAGAAAAGTAGAAAAACACTAATGGCTATATTACCACTCTATATCTCTGGCAACCAAATATCTTCAAAATATATGTGAGACCCCAGAACATACTACTGTTCTCCTTCTATATCTGTGGCTGACAATGATAGTTGAATACCACACTGTGTTCCAAAGCCTGGATGGGATCTTATGTTAAAATCCTTTTCAGTGTTAAGATTTCTTCTTAAAAATTTTTCCTGGGAAATTAATACATTTTATTTCAGGACACAGTAACTAAACCCATGGAATCAATCATTTCCAGAAACAAGGCTGTATAATCTCATTTAGTGATGTCAAAACAATAATAAGCGGCAGTCTCACATAGATGATCTTCAGAGGAATTTCTACATTATTTACTTTATGGCTAGAAGGCTTTGAGTTCATAAAAGGAATAAATGTACAAATGAAGTTGAAAGACTGAGATTAAACTGGAGGGGTCTATAACATTTGAGTAAATTCACTTAAGTCCTTTCCCACACCTTGTGCTTCTCCTTCACAATAATGCCAACATAATCTATATAATCCAAAGACTTTTTGGCATTCGGAAAGGAATGGATACTGTCTCTTCTCCCAAGCCTTCACCCCATCCTCACAATTTGAAAATAGTATGTACTTATATAACAAGAGATAAAAAATTCCTTATGTTTTTAAGTGATGAAATTAAAATATGACATTTGAATATTTTTTTATTTTTTGTAATGCAGGTCTACTGATGAGAATGGAATTTACTCATGAACACTGAAAATTGAATTTTATATAATTTTCATGTGTCATGAATGTTATCCTTTTTATTTTTCTCTAAATTGTTTTAAAATGTAGAGACCATTCTTCCTTGGATCATATAAAAACAGGGTGGATTTGATCCCAAGCCATTAAGTTGCCACCTCTGGATGGGATGATACACAATGTTCATTTGAGGTGTCTATCTCTATCTGTTGTTTAAAATCCATATCCCTATTTTGAAATAACCGATTAAAGCTTTTCATGAGGTTTTGCTTTTTGGGTACCCTCTCCCAATCTTCTATGTGCATATTCAGAGCCTTCTTATGAAGGCACTGGTGCAGACTAATTAGCACTTTCAAGTCTTCCCCCCACTCAGTGTCCAGTGACTCAAATACGAACTTTATGGCAGACTTCCAGCCACTCCCCGTTCTCACCTACCTTGTTAAACGTTCTCATCTCTTATTATATCTGGGCATCCTATTGCACTGCCCTACACGCCCTCTATCTTTTTACATTCCCCCAATACAGTGTTCTCAGGGTGTGTGTCATAGAACACTCCTCCCACAAGTTACTACTATAAGTGTCTTGTTCAAACACACTGGCAAATGTGGCACACTGTATTTTCTTTTTGTTGTTTTGTTTTTTTGGTACCAAAGATTGAACTCAGGTCCCTATGCTTGTGAGGCAGGCACTGAACTAAATCCCCAGTCCCTGTATTTTCCTTTTGAAGAAGCACAATGCAAACTGACATGTTAAAAGTGCTGAGGAATCCTGCAGAGAGATGATTAGAAAAGAAATATTTTTGTGTGTGATAACACCTGTTACCATCTTACACAGGAAACCCTGGAATGACCTGTTAGTGAATGCTGTCACCTGGGAAGACTCCCTACTTTATAGCTTGGTGGAAAGCGGAGCTCATTTCCTACAACAGAAACTAACATCGCCAGATTCTTATGTCCCCACACCTCTTTATAGCTAAAGTGCGGGCATTCATAAAAACACTGGGCTGATCCAGTGCTCAGTCTTGAGCTTGGAACTGAAGCTGTCACAAATGGAAACTCTGAGAAACCAGGGTTCTTTTTGGTGGGGTAGAGGGTAGGGGGAGCCTGCCATCGTTTTCAAAGACCGAGGCTGGTGCCCAGTGGTAACATGGCCAGTAGTAGGGTACCCTCACTGTTTTGCTTTCTGTTTGACCTTGGCTGTGATACTTACAGCTATCTGGCTTATTTTGCGCGTAACTATTTCAAGCTTGGTTCTGTAGCCTTTTTGTTTTTCCTGGTACTGAGAGATACTCAATGTTCTTTCAATGAAATTTATATTTAATATTTATGACTCCAATGTGAAGTGTTATTTTCTAATTTTCATAAATGTTTTGGACTCCCTCATAGGATCATGAATCTAAAGCTAACTTGAAAACAGTTAAATTTCCATATGGACATGAATCCCTGACTCTTTTTAACATTTCCAACAAGTGGCTGTATGGGTAGGGAGACAATCTCTTCTTCCTCAGACACTCCTTCCACATTTTAGTAGCTATATGGACATGATTAGTAACCCTCCCCTGGTTGTCCTGGTTCTAACAGTTGTGGCTACCCTCCACAAAATTTGTTCTCCGCGTAAATCTTCCTTAAGCCCAATTTGGTAGGCTTGTCTCACTCCCATCCCCCATCATAATGTAGGTGTGTTTTCTCAGAGAGGAACTTTTCATCTCCCTGGGTGCTGTCTTCTATGTGGCTTCCAGTGAGTTTCTTCATATGTTAAATAAATCCTTTCACAGTGCTTCTTTTGATTCTAGGTTCCGAGGTGAATGTTCCTCACCCATTCAGAGGTATCGATTATGTTCTTCATTAGGTTTCTGAGACAGGCCACTCAAAGCTACTGTTCTACTTTGACCACAGAGTACCTTCAGCCTAACACTTTTCAATGTGCTGTATACTAATGTGATAGCCAACCTGACTCCATTTGGATAAAGTCGAGTGATTCCTGGGGTCACTTTCACCTTCCCCCTTGGAGTCTCCTCATTTAATGCAGAAGTGACCACTGCATCCGTCTGATATTCTCCCCCTCATCTCTCAGACAAGACCAAAAAGCTTGGCATCAAAAGTACCAATGTTCTTAAGGTTTCATTAAATTAAACTAGCAAAAAGATTAACCTGCTCATATATTTAAATAATGTGTAGTCAGTTAACAATTTAATCAGCTGTGTCTTTCACTATGCACTGTAACAACTTAGTAGAACTAAAGCTTCTCAGAATAATCATTTATGTCTTTTACTACCAATCTAACAATGGAAAAATGTGGCCAAATATAAATATTAATCAACTGAATAATTAAACAGCACTAATGATAAGCCTCTAGTTTTGAGGATTTTAAAGTCTGTTCAGCAGGCTAGCATCATCAGCTTCACCTGGAGACTGCAGAAATGGAAACTCTTAGATGTTATACCAGACCTACTCAATCTGGAACCTGAAGGGGGTCCAGTATTTGTGTTTTAACAAGTTTTTCAAGTAACTCTGATGTACACTACCTGTCTAGATTGATCCTTACATAGTTTTAAAACTTCATAATCTTAAGATTTCTCACATATCTTAGAATAGACTCTCTCCTTTTACATATGAGTGAAGCCTGAGATTTCTAAAAACAATCTGCATAAATTTTCTTCTCATTTTCCAATTTTTTTGGCAATTCTCTCACATCCATGGTTTTCAACGTGTGATGATTATGTTCACAAGCCAACAGCACACTCATAGCTATGTTTAGCACGAAATATGAATTACCAAAAGTCTAGAAGATAATATTTTTAGGGGCAGTGAAGGAGAAATATCAGGACCCATTTTTCAAGTAGAGGAAGATCAGTTTCCTGACTTGGCCCATTTGATTTCTGCTCCCCTTCAGACACAATCCCCATTCTCTTGCCCTTTGGACTAGGACAAGTTTTTTTTCTCTCCCCCTTCACATTTTAACCTATGAAACTACTTATTTATTTTGTTTTGTTTTGTTTTGTTTTGTTTTTCTCATTTCAGTGAAGTTACATTTTTCTTTACTTGGCTTAACTGTTGCAAATTATGGTTCGCTTTTAAACATGGATAATGGAAAAGGCTTCTAAGAAGCCCTAGTGTTACATTAAAGTCAGGTCCTTCATTTTGAATTGTGTTTGTAGATATCCAAACAGATGTCAAATCTTTCTTTTTTTAAACAATATCACAAAAAGGATTTATGAATAATTCATAATCTCAGTATTTTTAAACAAAAATAAAAAAAGTTATTCTTTTATGGTAGATTTAGGAGGCAGCAGAGTTTTACCAAGCTTCCTAAGCACTTAAAAACTTTCCAAAACAAAAAGTAAGATCTACCATAATTCATCAATTCATTTCAAATACTTTGACTATGATGTTCATGTAGTGAAAGGGGAAAAGAGAATTAACATTTGTTGAACAACTATTATGTATCTGTAAGTATTATGCCAATACATATTTTTTTCAAGCACAGCAGAGCCTCAAGAAACTAGCAAGAATGGATTTACTTACATTGTTGTTGGTCAGGGCGAAGTACTGTAAATTATTCAGATACTGGATTTCTTCTGGAATGAAGGTCAGGTGGTTATAGCTTAGATCCAAATAGTGTAGTTTGGTGCATAGAAAAAGCTGCAAGGGTAGATTCTCAATATTATTATGATCCAAAAAGAGTTGCTCTAGGTTAGATAATGCGCCAATCTGGGCAGGAATATAAGCAATGTTATTGTGCCACAACTTTAAGCAGGAAAGGTTCTGCAGATGCTGAAAGCTAATGATCTCTTCCACAGTTTTCAGGTTATTTTCCTTTAGATCTAACTCATGCAAATTGTTCAGGCTGAAAATGGAGTGTGGAATTCGTTCCAGGTCACAGCTGATCAGTTCTAGGCTTTTCAGATTGACCATCTTTTTCAAGTTGTTCAACACAACCAGTTTGCTGCCCTCATTGTCAAGGGACAGTTTCTGCAGGGAAGGTAAGAGGTCTGTGACAATTTGGGGGATCCTGGACAGGCTGCTCTTCAGGTAGAGGGTCCTCAGGTTTTTCAAGTCCTGAAAGGCCTCTAACTGCATGGTACTCAACTGCTCAGGGAGAACACAGCCTGACAGATAAAGTTCCTTGAGATTTTTCAGGTGAAATACCCAACGCGGGATTTTTCCCATTTCAGTGAATTTCAGGCGGAGAATTTTTAAATTCTCCTCTAGGAAGGCCAGTGCAGGATGGTCTACCACTAGGGACGAGTGGTACACATGAAGCTCCTTGAGATTGATCAGCTGCGAGACTGCAGAGGGCAGCTTAACCTCTGGGATAAGTTCCAGGCTTAGCACTTCCATTTCTGTCAACTCAAAGACATTGTCAGGAAGACCACTGAGCATAAAAAGATGCAGCTCTATCTTGTCCTGGGAGTTTTTCACAAGCTTACTTTTCAGTTTCTCAACTGTCCATTCATTGTTGAGGTTGATCTGTTTCAGTTTGTTCTCGCTGACCTCTGACAGGAATATGGAGAAGCGTTTGGAATAAAGAGGATCATACTGATCAGCTAGATGAAGGATGAATGCAAAATCATTCTTGACATCTGGGATATCACTGTAGTTGCTTTTTTCTCTTAGTGCTTCAAAGGAATATTGCTTCAGGGAACTCCTCAGCATCCACCACAAGCTGTAGGAGGAGGTGAGACCATAAAGTATTACCAAAATGACATAAAATGAAGCCAAGACCTTAAATATTTCTGCCAAGGAGTAGACACACTGGTAGCGCTTATATCCTGTAAAAGCCTGCACATCAACTGAACAGTCAATTTCAAGAGTGATGTAGGTTAAAAAATATGGAACATAAGTTATAATGAAGACAAACAAAATGACTTTGACTATAATCTGCTTCAGATATACCCGATAAATTATGTCCTTCTGCTCCACATGCATTCGGAATCTTTTCACTTTTTCAAAGATGGCTTTGGCCTGTTCACCCTCCTTCTTGTCCAGGACACTGGAAGTTGGGCTTTCTATGCCAGCTGACTCCAGGCCCGGCTGTGGGTAGGGCAATGACTGCTTGCTGGAATCATTATCAGCTGAACACCCTGAGGTTGAAAGCAAAGTCTTGGATTTGGAGAGTTTCAGGGGCCTCACTGACTGCTCGGCCACTGTTTCTGACAGGGCCCGGGTGGTCCATGGAGAATCGAAGCACTTGTGAAGGATGGCCACAAAATGCTCCAGCCTGGAACTGGTACTGGGGTAGTGAAGCCAGAAGTTGCTGCAGGCTGCGAAGATAAGAGTGTGCAAGAGCACCAGATAGGGGAAGAATTTTGCAAACCAGTGGAGCTGCTTCTCATAACAGACAGCATCAATGTAGGAGTACTGCTGCCGGTGGAGGTCATTCTGGATTCGGAGGGGGAGCGGAAGTGGGGTCCCAGAATTAGAGGTTGTGTTCATGCTGGCTTTTAAGATGTCCCAAGGCACAGCACAGTGATTGTCGAATTCCACTTTGCATGGAAGACAGCACAGAACCCTGCTCTGCGTAAGCTGGAGAGCTCCCGCCAGCACAGCCACCAACAGCATGATGAGGGTGATGTAATACCAGAAGACATCCCACCATGGTTTTAAGATGTGATAAGATGACTGGGCATCTGCTAAACATTTTAGCTCTGTTAGTGTAATCATGACTTTCGTTTGTATGAGTACAGAACTGCAGGAGGAAAATAAAAGAAACAATGATGAAATAAGTACTCAAATTATTCATTAACTTTAATCCTTGTACATAACATCTTACTCAGGATGTAGCTCAAGGGTAAAACCTATGAGGCAGGGCTGGCCAAGGGCACATAAGTCTTCTGGTTACTGTGTTTGTTTGTTTTTTATACCAGCGATCGAACTGTGGTCCTTGTACCTGCCAGGCAGCTGCTGGAAGCACTGAACTAAATCCCCAGCAGTTTTCTGGTTTCTTTAAAGTTGCAGGCCACCCCAGTAACTTAGATGGGACCATTTCATGTGGATCTACTATGGGATTTGGGGTAGCCCTTGAGGAAATTATTTATTTACTTACCTCCCAAATCTAAACTCCAGCCCAGGTTACTAAAAATTTTCTTCAGCTGACGTTGTAAAAACTTGTTTTTGTACTACTAGCTTGTAACAGTCCATTTCATACCCCATAACAGGTCTGAATAAGTTTCTTTCCATACTCTGTCCCATGACTGCTTCAAGAATTATGTAACCCAAGTGTCATTTCAGTCACCACAAGAGGTATCTTGTGAACAGGCTAAGCTTTATAAAACTATCTTTTAGGCTTAGAGGAATTTACAGATTCCTCCTCAAAACAAACTGTCACTGAATGCATTATTTCCTTTCCCCTATAAGCACACAAGACAAAAGCCAAAATAAAAGGATTTCAGCTAATCATATGATAGCTCTTATGTCAAAAGAAAGATATGTAACCTTTTGCCATATGGACAATGAACCAGATAAAAGGAGAGTTGTGTCTGCCTGAAACTGCAATGCTCAGTTACAGGTTAAAGATGAAATGGGCAACAAAGTAATCAGAAGCTACAGTCTAAAACCACTGCCTATAGAGGAAATAGGGAATTGATGACATTCAGCTGAGATAAAAGATGACCAGTGGAAACTGAGAATTTATCTTTACATTTTTGTATAAATACCTCATGGATAAATGGCTTTGTTTCAGAGGCAGAACTAGGTGGGCAGAAAGTTTAGAAAGTCATATTTTGATCCACTTTGTTGCTGGAACATCACAGAAATAGCTGCTCTTCAAAATAGTTTAGCTCCCATCCCTAGCTGGGTCTGGATGGATAAAATTAGCATCCACCAGATATGTTGCAAAGGAATTTCCTATAATGAACCAGATAATTTTTAAGAGATTTTCCAGCTCTGCGTTTATAATTTTATTTGTCCTCATGATATGCAACTGAAATTGCAGCAGAATGAAAATAAATAGCTCACATAGTAAGGGTATCTGACAAAGAATGGAGATTTATGCAATAAAGAATACAAGCCAACACTGACCAAAATTAGTTATACTTACTATGATAGAAAAAAATGAATCAAATGTATCAACTTTGCCTCAGTCAGGAGGTCTACACCTTTTGAAGTTTCTTAGACACACCATCTCTGAGTTCGTCTTCATTCTATGAGAAAACATAAATATCTTAAAAGACATGGACTCATTCAAATAAAAACATTAGAGACACTCTTTCCAAAGACCTTCTCTTCTCCATCAGCAGACATGATATAGCCAATAGATTTCCATAAGCTACTTTCCTGTTTTGGCAAAGCTGCAATTCAGGATACTGCCCACACTCACTAGATCATACTCACTCCCTGAACTTTGTTAAACTATAGGGAAGTTTCTATAGAATTTACGTGCAACACGCCGGGCGTGGTGGCACACGCCTGTAATCCTAGCACTGGTAGGCTGAGGCAGGAGGATTGCTGTGAATTCTAGACCAGCCTGGTCTACATAGTGAGTTCCAGGTCAGTCTCAACTACTACACAGTGAGACCTTGTCTCAAAACAAATAAACAAACAAACATACAAACAAGAAATTTAGGTGCAACATATTTTAAAATTTGGTATCTATAACACTTAGCTTTCTCCAAGTAATTTACATGTTAATTTCTCCCACTCAGCCTCATACAGTTGGTCTTATTTGCATTTATCAGATGGCTTGTCAAACCATGTAATTCCTGTTCCCTAATTTAGAACTGTATATCTATCCAAAGTCTCAATGCTCTAAAAATTTATCTACCACATTAGAAAAAGACGTAACACTTTTTTATACATGTCTCACACATATTTCTAAAATTTCCTGAATTCAATAGTTATTAAATATAGCTAGCCAAGTCAGCCATGGGGGGGCACATACTTGTATTCCTAGCACTCTGGGAAGCTGAGGCAGGAGGATCACAAGTTCCAGCCCAACCCAGGCAACTTAGCAGTTTAGTGAGACTTTAACTCAAAATAAAAATAAAGAGGGGCTGAGATGTAGTTCAGTGGTAGATGTTCCCTGGTTTTAACCCTCAATACTGAAAAAAAATTACCTACACATCTAGCCATAAACTTTGTAGATTAATAAAAGCCATTCTTAACTATTCAATCATTTCTGAGGGCTAAATTAAATATGTGAGTTTGAGGTATCAGAAAATTTGTGTGTGAAAATTATGTTTTAGTGCTACAGAATCTCAAAAAAGTTGCCTGGAAGGGCTCATATCTGCTCTGAAGATATAAGTCTTCTTTTATTAAGTATTTCAAGTCCAGCAACAAGTACTGACCTCAGTTGTTATTTGAAATATTTTTAGTAATAATCCTGTGACTTTATCATGTCAAATATCAAAAAGTCTGGCATGTCTGAAATTTGCTTTGGGTTTATGAAGTCACATACACAGCCTGCCTTATAATTAAAGCAACAAATCATTTTATAGGTTAGAAAACACAGGTATAATGTATGACAACCTAACTACTACTTCATAAGATGACAATGCTAAGTATGAATTTGTAGCATATGATACATGACTGAATTTATATGCAGGGAGTAGGATAAAGGCGTTTGGGGACTGGGGTGTAACTCAGTGCTACAGTGCATGCTTAGCAAGTATGAGGCCCTGGGTTTAATCTTTAGCACCAAAACGAAGAAAAACAAAACAAAACAAGAAAGACGTCTGATGTGTAAAACATTTTACATGTTCATCCACAGCATTGCAGCTGTTATATGCCAAAAAAGGATTCACTGCATAATACCAGAATGCTATTCAGCCATGACACTGTTATATAACCGTTTTCTTTACATATTACAAATACATGTTCTACTTTTTAACACTGTCTCTATGAAAAGAGATACAGCAACCCCAACTAATAGCAGTATTCTAAAATCATAATGAGAAATGACTATGAACTCATCAGTAGGATCTCAAATGAAGAGAGGGTTGTCATATTTATTCTAACTTTAAAATTAATTGTAAAGAAGTTTTCCTGTTTTTTTTTTTCTGTTTTAAAAACTATAAACTTATATGGGTGTGGTGGTGTGCACCTGTAATTCCAGCACTCAGGGAGGCTGAGGCAGAAGAATCAAATGCTTGAGACATGCCTGGCTAGACCCTGCCAGAAGGAAGGAAGGTAGGAAGGAAGACAGGAAGGCAGGCAGGCAAGCAATAAATTTACAAATGGAACCGAAGAACTCAAATACTAAGTCTTGTCCACACCAGACCACATGGCCTCACTAAATTCAATTAACTATGCCACAGTCTAAATCTCTACAAAAGCTACAGAAAAAGCTATTTAACTCTCCATTATCTCTTCGACATCTGCATTATAACTGAATTCACTATAATCTTGAAAAAGAAAGATGCAACTGTAGTTTTCTGCAGTCCCCAGCTGCATAGCTACATACCATGAATCTACTTTCTTAGCTAAATATTTTTCTACTACATGTTTTCTTCTAAGTTATCTAAGACTTAATATTGAAATGCATAGCATCTGGATTTAAGTTTCAAGCATTCCTGATATGTCAAATGCTGATAATTTTTCTAATTGGAAGGCTTAACCAGAGTTAGAGCCATTATGCCCTTTAATACTGTTTGTGTGTGCCCCAAACATTTTGCAGACGATATTTTAGCAAATAATGTTGATTTAATCCAAATAAGATCCTTATTTATAACATACAAATGCAGTAAATCAATTCAAATAAATATGTTAAGAGTAAATGTATTTTATGGTCCTAATTTCATTCCTTTAACTTTTAAATCTCACTAAAAAGTCCTAAAAGCTTTTTAAAGCACATGAACTCATGTGACGATATCTTCACAAGATCTCTGAGACTGAAACAACAACACTCATATTAGACATCTTTATTTCCCAGTAGTCCTTATTTTACTTTGAAAGCATTTCCAAATTGACTGGTGAAAAAATAAACAAAAGATGATCAGATGGTATTTAGAATCATTATATGCTGAGAGCTGGATGATACTTCAAAGATCTGTTTCTGATTCCAGGCACTGAAAGTGGGAGTTCTCTACACTACTCTCCTAAAAACTGATTTAAAAATCATCTTACATCCCTCAAAAATGTTTAGTGCTACTTCCCATCAATATGTTTCTTGGGTCTTGCCTACATCTAACTGAAATTTAAATTTATCTCTTTGAGATCTCTCTCTAGGAAACAACATATGAATATTTCTGATTTCCCCCACTTGTTTATGCTAAATATAGCATAAAGTTATTCAAGGTGACAGAGCCTTTGAACTGGTCTTGGGAGGCATGTGGCTAGAACACATCATATAAGGAAGGATTTTGGCATATTCTATTGCATGTTCCAAACCCTGCTGGCTTTTTAAAAATTCAGCTTTTATTTCTGGAATTTCGGTGAGAGGTTCTCTGACTTCATGGTATTGACTAGCAGAATGATGACTGGAAGGTCCAAAATGGACTCACTCATCATGCTGGCAGTGGCCCACTGCTGACTGGTAATGTCTCATAGGAGATTCCATGTGGTACTTTGTGTGTCTTCAAAGAGCATGATGGGTTCGAAGTGCATTACACATGCATACATCAAAGCCACAGATCTTTCAAGTCATTACATTTGAAGCCACAAAGAGCAGCATTTTATACAATCTTTTAATCAAGGGAGTCACAAGTCCAGTCCAGATTTTACAGGAAAAGCAGCAGACTATACCTTTCAGTGGAATGAATGGCAAAGAACTTTTATTCTACCACAGCCTACTCTATGGCCATAAGTGATTTATATTCCACCTGCACAGAGAGGCTAACAATCCTCTCCCAAAAGTTTCAACCCAGTAGGGCAACCAATTCAGGTGCAAAGTCAGGACTGTACCATCTAATTTAAGTCCAGGAGAGGACAGTGCCCCTGAGAGTCTTAAATCCTAATGCCCCTTTCTTCCATCTAGCTGAGAGGACCCAGGAGGAACAGCCTTAAAGTTTTTTGAAGTTAAAAAGACAGGGTTTTTTGGCTTTTTTGTTTTTTTGAGACAGTGTGTCACTATGTAGTTGAGACTGACCTGGAACTCATTATGTAGCCCAGGCTGGTCTCGAACTCACAGCGATTCTCCTGCCTCACCCTCCCGAGTGCTGGGATTACAGGCATGCGCCACCACACCCGGCTAAAAATACAGGGTTTGACAGCTATGCCTTTGCTTTTTATTTTTACTTTGAGGTCATGTTCTATTGGCAGTAGTGCTTTGGATCTGATCTTTGGACATGAGACCATTTTTTTCTTTGAATTCTTTTTATAGTCAGGAAAAGCTAGAGATGAGAAATAGTTTTATTTACAACCCTAAAAAAGTCAGTATTAGAAATACTTCCTCTAAAGTCCAAGTAAAATCTGAGCAGTTTCTTCTTAATTTACTTCTTAAAATACTATGGTCATAGAGGGCTTACAAAGGGAACCACTTGCAGCTTCCAATATTCTGTTAAAAAAATCTTAGATCCACAAGTTCGTTAGTTTTTCTATGCTACAAGTTACAGGTTTTTGCTTTATGCAGCGTGCACGTAATATAGTCCTGTTACATGTATGCATCCTGAATGTTAGTTACTACACATAACTGTTTCTGTCACGTTACTGTAAGTGATGCTTTCGCTAATTTTTTCTGTCAATATTAAATCATTTTATATCCTCCAGTGGGAATTTCCTCACTGACTTTTAGTCACCATGAATAGTATTCTTACTCCACTTAAGGCCTTCTCTGCCACCCGCTCCAAAACTAATGCCACATATTTTGTTATGGCAGCACCTCACTTCTAGGTACAATTTTGACATTTGGTTTCTCGGTCTGTGTAACAGACCACACCAAACATTATAGGCTAAAATAACAATACATTATTTCTCATTGTTCTGTGGCAGTCATGTGTCATATGGTAAGGGCTGGGTTGCTGGGGGTGGCCAGAAGACCCGGAGCACTTCAGTCACCATCTGGCACAAGTGAGGAACAGAATCTCTGTCCAGATGAGGAAGGATCATTAGACAAAGTGTAAAAGAGGACAGAGAAGCAGTGTCACTAAGAAAAATTTAATTTTTATTTAAAAAAAGTTTTCCTCAGCATCAGGGATTGAACCAGGAAGTCATGAACTGTATCTTCATCTCTTTTTATTTTAGACACTATCTCATTAATTTGCCCTAGCTAGTCTTGAACTTGTGATTCTCCTACCTCAGCCTCCTGAGTAGCCAGGATTAGAGGCATGTATTTATAGTACTCACAAGTTAAGAGTTTCAAGGGAAGAACCTGACGTCATTCTCAAATAATACAGAGAAAGCCAAAGAAGAACAGAGATGTGTATCTACCTTTTGGCAATTTCCTATTCAAAGCTAATTCAAAGGGTAATGGTTCTGTAAAACAAGGATAAATAACATTTTCAATATTAGGAAAATCACCCCAATCATCTGAAACCCAGGAGATAGTGACTGAATTAAATGGAATAAATAAAAAATAAAGTTACTGAATGAACTAAAACCATAGGAACAACTCCAGACATTTTAACAAAATGTGAGTTGTTCTGCACCTTAAAGAACTTTGTTTCACTATTCCTTGTTGGTAGTGGCTCTGAAAGATGTATTTAATTTAGATAATCATCTATTAAGGAAAATACCTCGATTCTTTGATGCTGTTAATAAGCTACCATATTATCTAAATACTGAGAGTAATGAATTTGTAGCTGTAATACTGGAATGTTAACATAAGCTGCAGTGGCTGGAGAACTCTTAGAAAGTATAAAATGAAGGCAACTTCAAATCCCTAACCACTTCTCATTGGTGATGAAAATCTTTCTTCTTCCAGGGAGGCGCTGTAGGTCCAACTACTACCCTCACCCACTGAGGTGAGGCAGCAGAGTGATGCCAACTCCTGCACGCGAGTATGACAGCTGCTGCTTCGTTTGTCTTCCACGTCCACACATTTCTTTCTCGTGGCTGGCTCTCAGCCAGCACCACACAAGGGCAAGTGGAAAACATAAATTGTAGTTTAATTAAACTGGCACAGAAGAGAAAATCACCACACAATACTTTTAAAAGATATCTAGACTCTTACCATTCAGACATCTAGAATCACATGGACCAATCCAGGAAGACACAACAGAAACAGAGTCTACTCTTCTCTGCATACATAAGCCTTCCTAATAAAATAAGCACAAATTTGCAAATCTACACCAGACAAACAAGTTTGCTCCAGAAATGCTTAAAAGTACAATTAAGCCTCCAGTTTCTTTCTTTCTTTTTTTTCCTTCCTCTTTTTTTTTTTTTGGTACTAGAGATGGAAACCAGGGCTTTTGCACTGAACTATAATACCCAGCCCTTCAAGGTTTTTTTATTTGTTTTGTTGAGACAGGGTCTTGCTAAATTGCTTAATGGGCTTGATCTTGCAATCCTCTTGCCTCAGCCTGTCCATGTGGGATTACAGGTACATGCTACCACATCTGGCTGCCTCTAATCCTAATCTTTTCTCTAAAGTTGGATTTTGTGTATTCAATTATGGAAGTTCAACACTACATGCATACTAAGGACATGTTATCTTTGCTTTTCTAGAATTAAAATTCTTTTGTAGATAGAAGATATGCATAGTTGAAATTTGCACTCCATCTTATGCCATTATTTCAGAGCTCAAGTGAACACTATGATCAGATAAACCTAATAAATACTATATTTCTCTATACAGACAAAGAGAATGGGTGAAATGCTGAGCAGCAGCAGCTGTCAAAGAGAGTAGGATTTTAGTTTGTTTGTGAAACTAATACTTAGTAAGCTAGTTATGTATCAGGAGGAGCATAGGAGCATATCTAAAAGTTAACAGAACATAGGTGTACAAGATGGACAAGACCTGTGTCCTTTACTGTGTAGTGAGGGAGAAAGGACACAATAAGCAAGTATACAAACACAGGAAGAGCAGAAAGGCTATGTAGAACATTGTACTAGTCAGCTTTCTTGTCTCTAGGACAAACTACCTGAGTATCCATAACTTAAAGGAGGAGAGGTTTATTTGGCTCATGTTTTCAGAGGATTTAGTCTACAGCTAGCTCTAAGGCAGAAGGGCATGGCAGAGCACAGCTGTTTAGTTTATGGATGCTGAGAAGCAGAGCAGGGGAACAATGCCAGAGAGGAAGGATTAAGGGATCAGCTATGGTCACATATCCGTCACTCAACCAGATACACCCAGAAATGTGCTTCTACTAATTGCCTGGGAAGCTCCCAAACCAACCAAGTTGATGATTAAGCTTAACCATCACAAGTATAAAGCTGATGTAGATGGGATGGTCAGGGAAGGCCTCAGAGTGACTGCCATTGATACGGAGCTTAACATAGAGCTAGTCATAAGACCAAGCTGAGGAGGATCATTTCAGGGAGAAGGAATAACAGGGGCAGGATGTGTGAAGATCAGAAAGGAGGCCAAGCTGGCTGGAATTTAGAAGCCTAGCGAGAAATAAGTGACAGCCTGCAGCTAAACAGTGTGGACAATAAATCATCCAGGAATGACAGAAAAGTCAAAGAAGGGTTTTAAGCAGAGGACAGTAAGATCTGTTATCAGCATTTAAAGGTTTACAGTTAGATCAAGCTCAAGGAATGAGGTGGAAATGTAGACATATTCCCTCCCCATTAAAAACTACAACAACAAAGACTTTCACCTTCCACCTGTAAAAAGAAAAGTATTCAGAATATAGTAGGTAACAGACCCTCACCACTGTCCTCACCACTGCGTCACTTCGATTATATGTTCATTGCTGGGGGGCATTTTAAGACCTCTTGTATCCACAATATGGAGAGTTGCACTATTTAACTGAGCATACACACTATCATCTATCAGGTCTATGTCAAAAGCTCCGTCAACGGACTAACAAGATTTATCTTCCACAATTATAAAAGGAGAATGATGTTTGCAGGAAGCACCAGAATATAGGGCTTGTTTAATTCTGACTTTAATTCAGGTAAAGCTTGGCCATCTTTCACTTACAGAAACATGGTAACTTGATCCTATGCATTAAAAATGCTACCGTAAAAGTCAGGAAGAGACAAACATGGACTTTAAGTCTCTTATACATATTTACTACATTCCTAGATGTTTAAGGTTAAAAAAGTGAAGTGACAGTATATATTTTCCTGCTTACAAAACCCACAAAGGACAGGAAGATAGCATTTAAATACATGAAGATTTAAGTTTCTAATTTGTTTTAAAACACCCTAAGGACTTCCCTTGAAACATCTGTAAGAACAGTGATCTCTTTCTGTTTTTATTTATTTTTTGCCCTAAGCTACCAACTTAATCATAATTATCTTCACCATGTGTTCACAATCTAGGATATTTATCTTACCCTATGAATGCTGGTCAACTGGAAAGTGCAATTAGTTTCAACGTGAAGAATTCCTAAAGAGAAATCATAAACATAGTGTCACATTTTATGCATCACAGGATTATGAGATTATTTAGCCACTAATATGGCTCAGCAATGTCTAACACATATTACAATTTTATAAAATATAAAGATAACTTTTTTAAAAGTATGTTAAAAAAGATCAACATCTGACCTCCTACAAAAGGTATTAACTAATATCCAGGGAGAGAAATAAGTCATGTCATAAGTTACACATATAGATCTCATCATAATAATAATGCACAAGGCATAAAATGTGAATATTAAATTTTCAACATAGAATAAGTATTGTATCTGAAGCACTACTTATCTTAGTAAAGAAAAAAAAATCCACTGAAAATATCTATGCTTTTTGGATTAAACATGACCAGAAAAATACTTAATATTTGGGATAGTTTTCTCCATCCAGTTTGGTAATTATTTTTGCTATTAGATGATCTGCTAGTTTGACTTGATGGCACAATATTAAGATTTGCCACCAGGGATTTAGCTTAGTGGCACTGTGCCTGCCTTGCAAGCACAGTGTCCTGAGTTTGATCCCTAGTGCCGGGGGGTTGGGGGGAGAAAAAAAGAAGAGAAAAGATTTGCTTTTGTCATCATAGACTTTTTTTTTGGTTGTTAAAATCTCACAACATTTTTGATAGGATAATTGTTTATACATAGATATGTCATAGTTCACAAAATCATTGCCCAATCACTAAGATTCTCCTCCCCCCCAATGATGTAAACATCTCCATACTGTACTTTGTGTCATGATTTCTTTTGCATGGATTTCCAAAACATGAGTACTGGGTCACATGGCATGAAACTTTTAAAGTCTCCGATATATAGTAAAAATTTATTTCCCCCAAAAAGTTGCACTAATTTTTTTCCTATTAACAATGTATCTATCAGTAGCATTCTCAACAGATACAGGAGTTACTGTTAAATACATAAAAAGCATTGGCTAATTCCAGACATGAAAACTGATATTACTGTTTCATTTTGCATTTCTCTGAGTTAGGTTGAATATTTTCCATCCTATTAACGAGTTTCATTCTTCTTTTCTATTCAAATTTACTGAAACCAGAGGAATATTTTGCTAAGAAAATATGAACTGGAACTTAATGAGAGCTCCCATAATGACTACTTGTCATCTCAGAGAGAAGCCATTGCTATCAAGTAAAAGAAACGCAATGTAGTTCAGTTTCTTTACCCAGGCTAAAACTAAATCATTCAAAGCCATTTTAGAAACTGTAGCAAAAGTTATCCTCTTTCTTCCTCTTCAACAGAACAGAAAAGTAACAAGCTGGAAGAATGGAATGTGAAAATACTAAATGATGACGGTTCTTAGAATAGAATAAATCATTCGTATTAGGCAGGATAAAAAGAGGACAAAGGCTGTCACAGCAATTCTCATAGGCCCAGCTGTGGAGACAGGCAGCTGTGTCAGCAGCTCTCCAGGAGCCTGCTATGCCAATAAGTGCCACCAAACTAGATTTATCTACTCCTCAGAAACATCTCTGCCACACGCTGGACACAAGACATGTGTTTTAACTTCAAAAGCCAATTACAAGGTAATCTTAAAAAAAAAAAAAAACAAAAACCAAAAAAGCAAAACTGAAAGATTTGGAGAAAATAAGCATACCACTGATAATTCCCTTCTTTCTTAAGTAAGAGTTGCTTTCAGAAGGCTCCAAACAAGGGATATAAAGAAATCTCCAAAGTGACCAAGGATTAAGGAACAGTAGATGGTAATTTGATCTTTGATAGAAAAATAAAAGATCCCAAGGCTTTTACTGTGAAAGCATATGAATCTTCCTTCTGGTCAGCATAGACAGAGTTGACAAATTAAATTCCACTGTAGTAGAGCAAAGATCTAATATGCAGTTTTGGAATCTAAGAGTGGTTTCCTGTGAATTTCTTATAGTGACAGGAACATAAAATCATAAAAGAGCTTAAGAATCCAAGAATTATTCATTTATTTATTTTTCTGGTATTGGAAATCAAAACTAGATCATATAAATAAAAATCAAGCTATAAAATAGGTAATAGAAGTAAGGAGATCCTTCTCAAATGGGAATGAGAACAAGATAAGAAGGGGGGGGAAGGGGTAAAGGGGATGAAAAAGAAAAAAGTGGAGACAGGGCCAGGGATGTAGCTCAGTGACACAACACCTACCTGCTGGCAAGCACAAGGTCCTGAGTTCGAACTCTGGTACAAAAAAAAAAGGAAAGAGATAGAGCTTTTGTAAATGGGAAGAGGACCAAAAGTTGGAAGCAGCAGAGAGGGATGGGAGGAGTATGGGATGAAAAAAAGAAGATGGGTTATGTACATGTACAACCCCCCGTGATAAATGCAATTGTTGTTTACTGCAAATATGTAGTATGGGGGGGAAGAAAAATAAAGCACTGGAAGTAACTGAAAGGGAAGATAAGGATTTTGGCTTCTACTTCTTTCTGGCCAGTTGAGATATGGAGAACTAGAACTTCTAAACTTTTGTTTCCCAATGCAGTACTTGGTTTCTCCTCTTCAGTGTTATGAACACATATTTAAAAAGTAAGTGTGATGAAGTCTCAACTCCTTAGCCTGACCAGAGCCTGGAGTAAGATTAGTCCACCTTGGGTGACTCCATGTCTTGTCATGCCCAGTGTACACTATGAGTATTTAGATAATCATTGTTGAGTGAATATTTGATACCAGACCAGGTTCCATTACCCAACTAGGAACGAGGAGTATAGAAAAGGCCGAGTCATTGTAAAGTATGAAAACAATTGGTACACGCAGGTGGTCGCAAAGAAAGTGCTGGGGACAGAGCTTCAGGTACTTTCATTACCCCATGCCAAGTACAGAGATCAACAGCAGAGGCTAAGCCTTCACCCTTCAGGAAGAAATAAGAAAAATGTATATTTGCCAACTTAGGCACCAAATATGACATCTCACAAACTGGAATGCAGAACTGCTGTCAAATTCAGCCTGACTGGCTGCATTAGAATGACTGTAAGTCATTTCAAATCAGTGATGGGCCACTGCATAAATGCCACAGCACTCCTAAATGATCTTAATATCTTACTGAATTATTTCATAAGTTCTTTTTAAAAAGTTAGCCTTATAGTACAACAGGATTATTGCTAAGATCACCCAAAGAAGAATGTTGCATACTGTGCTGTTCTGTACCTACTAAATGCATTATCCACTTTTCCTTAAGAGCATAAATTCTGGGAGCATAAGCATCTTTCTTGTCTTCAAAGGGCCTGAATGACATCAGGTGCTCCATAAATATTAAAATTCCACAATCCTGTGAGCTATGATCAGGCTGACAATACTGCATGTATTTGGACAGTTTAGGTTCATAAAGCTTGTCACCTTTGATAGTGATCACTATAAAGAATGCTACATTTGCTATAACATAGTACTTGATACAATGACAAATTAATTGCCACGCACTGCAAATCAGCCTAGCTATTAACTTGAGCTAACTCTGGACCCCAAAATAGAAAGGTTTAATGTTATCATGAAGCCTAAAAAATGCTTTCTGGCTTGTTTATTTATTGTGGTACTAAGGATCAAAATAGGCCCTTCCCAATGAGCTACATCTCTGAAACTTAAAAAAAATGTTTAAAATGGTGAAAGATTTATGTGATCTGAACAGAAATCAGAGTATAAAGGATATTTAAAATGAGCACTGCTACCTGACTTGCTCAGTAGTCATTCCATGCTTTCCTTTTTTTTTTTTTCCCCCTGGCATTAGTGGGGATTGAATCCACAGTTTTCACACTGAACTACACCCCCAGCTCTTTTTTAACTTTTTTTTTTTTAAATTTTGAGACAAGGTCCTGCTACATTGCCCAGTCTAGTTTGAGCTTGCAATCTCCTGTCTCAAACTCCCATAGTCCTGGGATTACAGGCAGGCTTCACCATACCCAAATAAATTAATCTCATACTTTTTTAGTATTAGGGAGCATGGATATATTGCCATTAAGCTGCATCACAACTATCTTGTTATGTCCTTTCCTGTCTAAGTCTCTAAGCTCTTAGAATAGTTGAGTGCACAAGATAGGCCAACAGAACAAATTCTCAACAATTATCTACTGAGTACAAAGGAGTGATGGGAGATAGAACGGGGAAGACTAATACTGGTACTGGGTAAAGCAGGATTATAATCTCAGCTCTGAAGGTGGGAAAGCTGAGAATCAGAGCAAAGTTTCATTTTTTAAAATTTTCTCAAGCTCATAAGCAAATCCAGAATTCACACTAGCTCTGACAGCCATCTGCTGCACAGCCTCTCGAAAAGCTATATAAAAAGGAGTTTTATATAGAACACAGCATCTCTTTTCAAATCTACAGCTCATCTTTTATTTTATTTTATTTTTTTGGTACTGGGGAATTGAATTCGGGACCTAGAGCTTGTGAGGCAGGTGGCAGAACCACTAAGCTAAATCCACAGCCTTAAAATTCATCTTTCAGAGAAAAGAGATGATTTTAAAATGGGATCTATGTTGCTTTTCTAGCTCATCACTCAGTATTCCTTCTAGCTTTTTCCATCTTGCCTATTAAGTAATTAAGACTGACATAGCCAGAGTAATGCTGCATCCTGCTTGTACAATCTCAGAGAAACATTCACCCTCCAATTTAATAACACAATGAATAACCCAAGTTTAATTTATATGTAAATGATGTTTTACATGGCTTTTCTTCCTTGAATACAGATGTTAAAATAATTTCATAACACCTAAATATAGGCTGGTTTTGAATGGCTTAATAAAGAAAAATCATATGCCTTCAATATTTTAATTTACAGTGTTAGGCTTGGTTCTTAGCTTAAAAACTTGAAGACCATTTAGGAGACCTGAAGAGAGAGTAGCAAAATGGCTGAGATCTTTCTGTCTTTTGTCATTTACCACCTGCTGGATCATAGATATACTATCCAAGTATCACCTTTCTCATCTATAAAAGAATGAGAATGGTATTCTTGTTGCTGAGACAAAATACTAGACACCAAAAGTTAAAAGAG